TACTGTTTTATTATAATGATCCTGGTTGGGGTTTTTATATAATTTCAATATCAGTTTATTGACGTTGCAGTAGTAAATTCATAATTTCAAACTAATATTTTGTCTAAAATTTCTTTATTAAAACTTTTATTTAATCAATTGTATATAATGTTACAAATTAAAAAGTTAATATAATGATTAAATCATCTAAATTGTTCTGCTAAATAAAACATTACAACTGTAAAGCAATTATTGTATATGAAGCTATAATATTAAAAGTTAAATCATCCAATAATGTTACATGACATTAATGCGATTTTATAACCCTTTTGATACCTACAACATTTCACTTTTAAATAAAACGTACACAAAATTCTCAAACCATTAACGCTTAAAATTTTTGTAAACGTCAGCTGTCACACTTTTTTTGAGCTTCATATCATCAGATCAGTCTATAATAATTACATTTTAAACATTACAAATTGCTAACAAATTGCAACTATGCAAATGTATTTCCTCAATCAATATACAACTGCCCTACTCCCACCCAAAGCACGCTGAACAAACACTGACTACAATGGAACACCCACATCCATTGTAAAAAATTAAAATGGAGTGTCAAATTTCACAAAGGGTGCTATTTTATGCTTATAACTCTATTCCAGTAATAGCTCACACTTAATTTATTTTTATTTTAATGGTATAGACAGAGAAATTTACTTAAAATACAAAAAGCTAAAATCCGCTTCTATCCAAATTAAAATTACCCCAAGTTATTTGATGCTGAAATCTATACGAGTGTACGCAACATTGCCTAAGAAACCACAAAATTGGGTTCAAGTGTGTCTTGCATTAGTTTGAAAACGAATCTGAAAAAGAAAACCTACTTTGACAAAAGGCTAACGTGCTACTTTGTGGATATTGCCTTACTAACGTGCTATTTTATTTCAGAGCACCCTTGTCAAACACTCCAATTCTTTCCTATTCCTCTTCTGTCATATAAAACCTCCATGCCTAACAATAAGCGACTGTTATAAACTGTAATTATAATAGCAAAAAGTAGCACAACTTTTAAGACAAAAGGGCAAACACGCAATAAGTATCGTGTAGTGGATTATACAGATTTGTCTCTTGATCTAAAAATGAATTATATTTTTTTACTTAAAATATACGAGTATTGGATAACGAGCTGTTTAATTCAAATTTTAAATCTATTTTTGACAAATGAAATTTACAACATAAAAAAGGAAATATTTTTCAAGAATCTAATATTCTAAAATCTGTAGGACCCAATATTCAGCTGCTTTCGTATTTTTTTTATTTTTCGCATAAATCTTATCCTCTTTAATATTCAATCGACCTTTGTTAGAAAAGCAATACATTTTTTTTATCATTCGAATTATCACATTTTTCTATTCTCTATGTCGATTTGATTAGCAGTTTATTTTTCAATTGAATTTCAATTTGTTCCCTAAAAATTGCATTGAAAAATATTTATAGTTCAGAAACCAGCTGCATTTTAAGGTACAATGTTTGCTTTGCTTCCGATGTAAATATTTCATTGTTTTCCCTTACTCCTGCAGGCATGCAATGCGATTGCACTGTGAGTTTTGGCCCGTATTGATGTCATGTTCCCATGATTCTCTTAGCGAGTAAAGTTTATTCTGTGCAATCTGCAAGCAGATAGTATTTGCATTGAAACAAACAAGACCTAAAAATGTATTCATGAATGAAAAACAAAAGCAATATACATTTTCCTGAAACCATGAGATTCATGACATAAGCATCCTTTCAACCCTAAAACGAAATACATCAAATCTTGATTGCATTGCGTGGCACGAGACATACCCGCAGATACAGATACATATATGGTTATATCATTTATATGTTGTTTTAATTTTTGATTTAAGTTCAGTTCCTTTTATATATAAAAATTTTTTTATAAATTAATTAATAATATTAATTAATAATATTATTTTTATTATATATGTATATCATAGATTATATTACAGAAGTTATTAAAAATAAAAAATAAATGATTTTTAAGTTACTTTACTTACTAATTTAGATTTTAGGGGCGTTTTTTTTTTCTTGAGGATCTTGGCGAACTTCAGGACCTCCCTTTAAATAGCATCATAAGGTTTGCCAAAGGTTCTAGATAGTTTTAACCCTTGGGTTTTTAATAATACGTTAGCATAATGGGTCTATAGGCCTAAGTGAAACTTCCTGTGATCGCATTGATAACCTAACCTACTAATTTAGATTCAGTGCTTTTTATATATTAACAATTTTTTTAAACAGAATAATTAGTTATATTATTTTTATTATATTATATTATATATAGAGTATGCAAAAATTCTGTTAATAGCTCAAAATCTTTGCGTAGGGTAAATTAGTCTGGCGGCTTTATTTCTAGTTATTCATAAAAAATAATATTATTATTATTAATTGTTATTAATAATATTTATATTATAATTAATAAAACCAAACTTACATATTTAATTTTCATCCTTTCGCTTTCATTATAGTGAATTAGCTGTTGTTAAACAGCATGCTGGATTGAAAGGCAATATATTAATTTCCTTTTGTATGAAAAACAACAACAATAATATTAATTACTCTGCAAAAAATTCTAAATTTAACTTTAAGGTTTCATATAATAACAACAGTTTAAAATTTTATTAAAACCTAATTCATCTGTCTAGTTACTTCTTTAAAAGTTTGCTGAAAATTATACTTTGATCAGAGTTACTATCAACGACCAAAATGGCTTTAAATTAACATTTTTATACGTTTAGGCTTTTTATAAACTTTAGAACAATCTCAAGTTTGTTGTTCCAGAGGTTGTATCTATATATGCTTAACAGCGCCAGCTTAGAGTGAAAAGCATATTGTAGCTAGAGTATAGGATTCACATAAAATATGGTCTGTGTATTCAATAAATATTTTACATCTGCCAATATAATTCGAACCTTCAATGTCTATTTTACATCTGTCTATATATAGTATAGAATGTGCTCTAAGTTATAAAAATTTATTTCACAGAACCAATAGACGTTAGTATCGGAAATCCTCAACACATCTACGTAATGAGTATTGAATTAAGTAGATAGACTACACATAAATCCTCCTAATTAGCTAGAGCAGTTTATATTAACTTTTGCTAGGATGAGAAACTAGTATGCTAGTGGTATTTATATTCTTCCTAATTCTTTATGAATGCTTTGAAAAAGAAAAAATATATGACATAGTGTGGAGTGAATTATTAATAATAATTGCAATACAAGATTAAAAACAACTTCATTCGAGTAGACCACGAGAAGTCACTACGATTGACGATAGCAATTTGCAAGGAAGCAAGGTTTTCGCTTGTAATACGATTTAATGGAACCATCAGAGATCCATATGATGAGATAGATTTTTAAGTTAAGAAAAATCTCTATATCAGATAAACAATTTATACAAATCTCTCATTTTGTATGCATATTTTTCTTAATTATTGTTAAAAAGAAAAACAATAAGTAAATAAAGATACAAAATTCATTTATATGAAATATTCCTAAGACAATAACCCATTTTAATTTGAAATACAAACATAAAACATCTTATAAAATCTTTGAAGGTTTTATTCAAAAATATGTTTAAAAATATCTTAAATAAAAATTAAACTTGAATTCCCCTAATTAAAAACTTATGAAATGATATTTAATGATCTAAAACGATAAATATTACAAGACATATTTAAATTAAAAACTAAACAAGTTCTCTCGCTGCGGACAAACATAATATTAATTTTCTTAATTAATTTGTTTAGGTATGCATGAATAGTTTGAATTCTAATTAAATCATTAATACCATAGTAAAGTATTTTTTATTGAATTTTATTAAGTAACCCTGGATATTGTTTATGGTAAGAAAAAAGTGCGTCCACCTTTCTTTATCGGTGCCGATAATTAATTAACATAAATTATCAATTAAAACTATACCAAACTGCAGTCCAGCACGTCATACTTGCGTATTTTTTCAAGTAGTATTGTGCTCATATTAACAAAATAAACAGCAGGACATATGGTGAAGGATAACAAATATTTTTGTAATATCATCACCCCTGTTATAAAAATGTTGCAAAGTAGTAAGTCAGCGTCATCTGGCAGGCATGCGCGGGTAGTTTTCCATATATTTAGAAATGAGAATACACTATACTGAAATGCATTTAACTGCAAATGCAGTCAAATTTACAGATATGAGGGTTCCGAAAACCACTGAAGTAAAGTTACTACTGGCAACCGAGGCAAAATCAATCACGATATCAAGCACATTAAGCATGCATGCTTGCATGCATGTATCTGCAATCATTTAGATACATATATATCGTACACATATGGCTCCAGGGTGGTTTGTTATAAGATTAAATAAATTATAAAACCCTACTTTACGTTGTTGTTGTGTTTGTATTATCGTCACAAAGTTAAAAATTAAATAAGTTTTTTTTTTATTTTTGTTTTAATTGAAAAATGCTGGCCTTAAATTTAGGGTAGTTAGCTGCGTTTCAACATACTTAAATATATACCAGTTTTTATAATGAAATAGCAAATGCTGCATAACTAATTTTACAATGCTATATAATGCTTCATAGACTTTATGCACTCCAATAATAATATAACCGACAGTTGTTACATGTTATTTTGCACAGTGTATAAATAACTTTTTAAAATACCATAAAAAAGCTTCTTATGCTTTAGGGTTTTTATCTTAAAACTAATGGAATGTTCTTTAAGTTTGTTTTAATTCTAAATAAATATTGAAATAACATAAATCTTTATTGCTTCCAACAATCCAACTTCCCCTGTTGTTAATTTTTAAAACAAATTCATGTACAAATTCATCTGAATTATCATCCTTTCCATAAACCAAAATCAATTGGTTACATTTTGGTACTTTTGGCACCAAAAATCTCAATATTAACAAAAGAAGCAATATATTGCCACATTATTGCATTATTGTCTGAAACTAATTGTGTGTTCCTCCCTGCACTTAAGGTAAAGTGAAGCAGAATTATATGACTCATTTTGCGAAGCCGCAATTAGGGTTTTCACACATCATTGGCTGTACCAATATTGACATATAACAAATAAGGTTACATTTCAGTATTTTCTACAGCATTAAATTGCTATTTTTATTACTTTTATTTAACATCTTTCGTATTTTAGCACAAATTTTCTTTTAGTTTTACTATACGTATTTAAATATCTACAATGTAACGGCTGCTGCCCGATGAACTAAGGGAATAATAACTGTTTTCTGAAAAGAAAAATTCATTTAATTTTGAAATTTTTTTCCAATAAAGTATTTAAGTATCTCACCTTCGTCGCTGTCGAAGGAATGAAATTTTTCGTCATCTCTTGCCATTGAGCGCCTACTGGTACGTGAAACAACACGTATTTCTTGTCTTCTATCTGGTGTTGGTGTCGTTTCAGTTGAACCGATTAAACTGGAGGGATATTCTAACGGCGAACCATATTCTGAACTTGGTTGACTGTAATTATAATTTCTGTCCACACTTATTGAAATCGTTGGTAATTTAAGATCCATTCTATTATCTATGATAATATTTTGTTCATCATCATGGGTTGTAATTACAGTTGGTATTATTTTGTTCGATTTTTGCGTAGTTAACTCTGGCTTGGGTGCCATACGTTTCGTTGGTACACTATTTTGAGTACATGTTTCGGTTTCACTTTTTTTGTGGATTTTTGTTTTGTTTGTGGGTGTTGGCGTTGGCGTTGGAGTAGTATCATTATCTAATAAAATATTTTTATTTACTTCATCATATGTATTAAACACCATTGTATTTATTTGTTGTTGTACATCACTAATAATAACCTCTTCCATTTCCTCTTCTTCATCTGAATAATACTCGGAGTCTCCATGTATTAATTGTTTTGTCACAATTTTATTTCTTTCTCTAGTTTTTGGCTTGTGTTCGAAACGTGAGATCAATTTGTTTACTTTTCCTACATCATTCGGATTAACTTGTTCATCGTAAGTTAATCTTAATGATGAAGTTTTCACTAATGGTTTTGCAATGCGTGCCATAGAAACTGTACGTTCGGGTATTATTGGTGGCTGCGCAGTAAGAGGCTCTGGTGGTTTTGTTAATGGTAATGGTGGCACTACTTCATTTGTGTCTTTCGTTATTTTAGACATTCTTATGGATGGCATTCTTTGCGGTATTGGTGGTGGTGGTGGAGAAATTGATGGTGGTGGCGGAAGTGATATTATTGGCGGTGGGGAGGGTGCTGCAGATGGTGGCCGATCATTATCATCAACATCAAATTCCATGTCTTCATTTTCATCAAAGTTAGCAATTAAACTTTCTCTACTATTGGAAATTAATATTTTTTGTTCTGGGTTTGCTTTGACTTCTTTGGTTACTGGCATTTGTACTGATTTTTTATCTGCTAAAATTTTTGTTACCCTTGAAGAATTATCATCATCTGGTTCTTCACTGCTATCTTTTTCGGAACTATCTAAGTTATTAGCACCAATTTTAACTACTGGCTCATTTTTTAACTCATCATCAAAATCTTCGAATGCGGTAACTAGTCCTCCTTGCTTTACATTTCTCTCAAAAATATCAATACTTTTTGTTTTATATAATTTTTCATCTCGCACTGTCGCCTGCACTTTCCACGCCTCATCTTTTTCAGATATAACATTTAAGCCAGCACCTGATGCACTACGTAAGCTTTCTTGACTTCTATTCTGTTGTTTAGCGCGTACGGCTTCCGGTATCCAAGAATCAGAATCTGAATTCGAATCTACAGATAGTTGACGTGTATGTTTACGTGGCCTAGGTACCACAGCATCTGCAGACATTCTACGTTTAGATGACGGTGTTATATTTTTTAAACCGGATATTATTTCTTCATTAGATACCCATTCAAGTGCTTTGGGTTCGATTTTTTCTTCATTTGAAATTTCTGCTATTTTTGGAGTAGGAGATGCTACTGCTGGACGTGTAACTGCTATTATTAATGTAGATTCAAATGCATCTGAGTTATCTTGATGTATTAGTACGCGTGGAAACTCTGCATCAAGCTCTGATTCCATTGAATCAGATAACACTGACCTTGTTGTCCAAGCGGTACGTGTTTTTTGTGTGGTGATTTCTTCTTCAGATTCATCTAGGTCTTCCTGCTCCGAACGGTATTGGTAATCATCATCATAGCCACGTCTTGCAATTTTTGGTTCCATATTAGAAACTGTTTCATTTTCATTTTTATTTTTCTTACTATTTTTCTTGTTAGAGTCTTTATCTGTTTGGTCTTGCGACTTGTGAAAGAACTTGATATTTTGCATTTGTTCATTTACTTTTTTCAAAGTTTTTTCTTTGGCGTATTCAAATTTCTCTTGTAGATTTGTAACTGCACGACTTTTACCGCTCGTTGCGCCAGATCCCTCATCATCTGTTTCACCATAGTCCGAAGTAGGGGTTTTACGTAGTCGTGCGTTTTTAAACTTTTTAACAACAGTACCTTTACGTCTTTGTCTTTGTCTTTTTGAGTTACTTTCTGTGTCAGATTGAGCACCACTTTCTCCAGATTTTTTAAAACTATTTTTCCAACTTTCTAATTTGCTTGTGATTGTTTGGCGTTTAGGAGACTTTTCCTCTTCTTGTTTAGGATATTCATTTTCTGTATCATCAGCCGAAACATCCTGTGTTTTGAAGCGGCGAAGACTAAACTGAACTGTTTTTGTTCCTTCTTTCTTTTCTTTATTTGTTGTTTCTTCATTTTCCGGATTCTCTGTAGTTGTTTGTTGTCTCTTAATAGATTTACTAAATTTCTTAAGGTTTTGTTTTATGTTAGTAAAAGTATTTTCACTCCCATTAGTTTTATCTGTTTTTTCTAAAGACTGCTGTGGTGTTACTGGCGCTTTTGTGACGTTTTCTTTCGGATTTTTAGATTTTCCATAACTCTTTAAACGTGTAATAATATTTGTACCACCACTGGCAGTTGCAGATGGTGACTCGGTACCTGATTCATCGGGCGTTGAATCTATACTTGCAGCACGACGCATATATTTTCTGTGTTCTTGATTTCTGGGCTCGTTTTCTGCAACATCATATAATGTCTTTTCTGAGATTGGTGGAGTAGGCTTAGTGATGGGACTATTAGAACTATATACATTTTCAGCATGAACATATTTCGTACTGGAGATGCTTTCTTCAGACATACTTAAGCTGAGAGGTGGGTTTCGCACCTTAGCAAATCGAGTAGCTGCTATACCGGCTTGCCGTATTGGTGGTGTTACCTCCATACCACTTTCATCACCACTTTGTTCACCAACACTTTTTGATTTTTGTTGGGCTTTCTTTTTTGACTCTGATGCTGTGGAATCATTGGAACTGATACTATTGCTGTGCCCGGTATTTTGACGTGAAATTTTAAAATTAAAACGATAATTATCAGAAATACTCTGATCACGTAACTCTTCTTCTTGCTGTTCAAGTTGTCTCTCCTCATCGTAACGCTGCACATAGTGATTTACTTCTATTGTATCTTTCCGTATCACAGTTTTTTTAGCAAAAATATGTTTTAGTCTAAATTCTGAAATATCTTTATAACCCTTTTGTAGTTTTTCTGTAAATGTCATCTTCACACTAGTAGTAGAGCTAGCAACATCTGTTGTTCTTTGAATAGTTTCTGGGGCATATGCAGGCGTTTGAATAGGACTTATGGGGCGAGAGAAACGTTGATTGAATTGTGTGGGTGAGGGATAATCATCATCAACGCTACAGGCACTACGATAAGTATAACGATTTTCATTTGAATCCTGATGCATTAATGAGGATATTGTCGAAATACGTCGTGGTGTGTGATCTATAAAATCAGAAGGCGGTATTGATGGAGGCATTTGTTGCTGATCTGTTGACTGCATTTGCTTTGAAGGCGTGTCTTTTGTTACATCTTCGCGTGAAGTTCTAAATATTTTACGTGATTTAAGTTTTGACATTGATTTTGGTATTTTAATTTGCGATATTGCAGGTATTGCTGGCATTGCTGGCAGCTTTGCTATAAAATAGATACAATAATATAAATGATTAGCAAAAAGAATTCATTTAGTAGTAGTAGTGGTAGCGTGATGTGAATATGTATTTGTGAAATATTGATTGATTCATGGTAATTGTAAAATCACCCATGAATCGAACTTGCATACTTGTGTACCTTTTATACTATCCATATCGATTTTTTGACATAAATTTCGAAAATCCATTTTCTTAAATTAATTAAAATTAAAATTTTTAAAGGTTTTAATAAAACTGGTAGTTTTTTATTAAATTATTAATATTATTAATAAAATTTTTATTTTTTAATAAAATTTTACTTTTCCTTTTTTATATTTAGTATGATTTCGTTTTCTTCAAGCAATATTTTCTTTTTGCTAATTATCTTAAACTAATTTTAAAGCACTGCACTTAACACTTTAAGTAGCAATAAACTTAATTTAAATCTGTTCTGAACATTGCGGTTTTGTAGCAATTTTTAAAAAATAATTTATTTTATTAAATTATTAATATTGCTTATATAAATTTTCTGTGCAGAACGACCGTTTTCATTCCTTTCTGTCTTAACGCTGGCCGTTTTGGAAAAACTAGTCTAGGAAAATTTTCTATGCAAACCTTTTGTTATAGCATTTTGACGCTAATTAAATTAACGTGTTTATTTTTACGTTTATACATTTACCCCTTCACTTTAGATACATTTATATATTTTTCTCTCCTTTGGTTTTCTTTTTGTAGTTGGCCTATGGCAATTTATGCCTTCATCCAGTATGATTCTTCACGTATTTTTTAGTGTATAGTAGAAGTAGTTGCGGGCTTTATTTTTTGTTAAGTTCTTTAGTTTTCTAAATTTTTTGTTTACTCTTCTAGTTGTGTTTTATTTTTAAATTTAGTGATTTTCTTAACCTAGTGACTTAATTTGTTTGTAGGCACTGAAATAGTTGTATGTATACACTACAAGTTTACGACTATAAACAAATGTTTACAAAATAATGACTGCACTCATTAACAGAAATCAAGTACCTAAAAGAATGTATAGTGGTACTAAAATGTATATTTCAAATATTCTATGAATATGTATACTATATATGTATATGTAAAAATACATAATTTGCGCTCTTCCGTTGTCCTAATAAATTTATACAAATAATGTCTTGATATATTTAATGCCAATATAAGAATATTTGTTAGCACCTTTTATTCACTTTGGGTTTTTTACATTAAAAATGTTTGTGCAGACATTTTCTACAGATATTTTTAAACATAACGACACTATTTTTCCGCGTTTTTAGTATTAATTTTGTAGAGGTCTTGTTTTACTTATTTTCCGCATCGTTAGTGCTGTTAACTATTACTTTGACTTCTGCTTATTTTATTACATATATGTAAGCTAAGCTTGATATTTGATTATAGAATAGAGTGTAAGAACTTACTTCGTAATTGCTATGAATATTGCAATTAAGAATTAATTAAGGCGATTCATATATGATTTCATATATTTTAAGAATAACAAATTTCTTATTAATTTTAGGATTTGAGGATTTTTAAGCCCTGATTTTTATATTTTGATCTGCTCAATTTTATATATATATTTATATATTTATCATATATAGTTTAATATATTTTAAGAATAACAAATACTTTATTAATTTTAGGATTTCAGGATTTTGTAGTTTTAATTTTTAAATTTTGAACTATTAAATTTTATTTAGTTATTCTGTTAAAATATTTTTCAAAAGACAGTGTTATGTTATGCTTTCATGATTAAATATATGCTTAGTAATTAACTGACAAAATGCCATGTTTAATATATGATATGTAACTTTTTAAGTATTTAAATCATAGTATTTACAGTAAAGGGAATTTTATTCAACAAAAAAAGATAAGTTATTGATATACAAAACAAAAAATTTTATAAAAATATTGTGAAAATGAGGGTATTCCGAATAATTACTGAAAAATATTTAAAAATAAATTAACGTTGAACCATCCATCATAATTTTTAAAGTCATTCAAATACAAGAAACTATGTGTATCAAACCATGTGTATCAAATTATATGATATTTAATAAAGCTATTTTGTTGAACTGTTTTTGGTAAATAAATTGTTTTTTTACTTAATAATTTTTCACGTAGACCTTTCTTGGACACTCTATATCTAAATAAAAACTTAAAACATGATTAGACACATTTCTTCCTTTTCACATGATTTTTTTTTGTTTTCAAATAAGTCGGAAATACCATGTTTGTAAAATATACTATTAATATCAACTATTAATAATAATAGTTGATATATAATATAACACTATTTGATTAAATTAGAATATAATCCAATATAAGGTTTAACTTTTTTTAGGTATCAACAATTTCTTGTAATCTAACTACAAACATAAAGTTTTTGTATAATTTTAGTCTCTTAAATTATAATTTATCAATTTTTTTTACCTATGCAGTATTTTCTCTAAAGTGCAATTCTATATATTCATTAACCCTTTATTAATTATAGTAATTTCTATTACTCAACTCATGTAGTCACACTCTAAAGTTAAAGAAGCTATTTTAAAAATAATATCATTTTTTCTATATTCAATATCTACATATAAATGTATTGCTTTAAAATTTATACAAAAAAATCATATATTTAAATATATATTATTAATAATTCATAATTTTTTTTCTTTTCAGATAACTGACTTCATTTTCTCTATTTCTCAGGTTTGCATAATGAATGCATAAATTTTGTTTGGATAATTTGATGCATACAACGGCTTACGGAAGTAAATAAATTGTTGGCATATTTAAAATCTATACCGCTAGAAACATTCCATATATAATATATTATATATACTAAAGTTATTAGTATATAGAATTAACTAAATATAAAAACACAAGATGAGGCGGCAGATATGTACGCTGACCGTCCTTTTGGTGGCCGTTTTAGGCAGTACCACAGCTTTAAGTAAGTACACTGCTTTTACTTTATTACACAAAAATACTATATACATATATAGATATATTTATTAAACTTAAAAATAAGAAATCATATGATAACAGAAATCGACTACTAGCTACCAGTGCGGAATACTCAATATTGTTTAAATTTAACATAAATTATTCAGGTCTTGAGCATTAGATTAGAATTCTAGTTTTCTATTTACTATAAAAAAAATTTATTAAAAGATTTATTTGAAAATATTATATTTAGTTTAAGTGAAAAGTTGACAACTGTAGTTGTTGCATTTCCATTCAACAGATTTCTGTGTAATGTAATAACTTTTTGTTGTAAAATTTAAGAGAAAGTTAATTACAAGCGCTGTCAAATTAAAAAAGAAATATGCTATTATTATTTATGCAGTTTCGCACTTTACATTTTCATAAAGTTGAATAAACTGTGAAACTGCAAATTACTAAGATGACTGTTAGTTTACTGTGAGTGATTTACTGTAAACATTACATTTAATAGTTCGTCTAACTTTTTGAGAAACGAGGCTGTAGACAACTCATTTCGCTCCATTTCATACATAAATATTTGAACGATTTTAATGTATAATTACAATGCCACATTGACTGACACCTTGGTTAATCTAAATAAAAGTTTATTACTTTTTTTACTTTAATTCTCTAAAATTATTTGTTTATCAGCAAAATAATCAATAATAAATAAGTCAATAAATTATCAAGGCACTGTGTTTTTTATTACTTTTCTATTTTTATTTTATATAATTAAATTTAAATTAATTATATGACATTTATAGATAACTTACAATATAATACAATTTATAATAATTAAATAGTTTAGTTTGTTAAGCAATAGAAAATTATATCATATAAAAAAGAATTTATATAAACTTAACTAATACATTTCTATTAAATTATTTTAATTTTTATATAAAACATTGTCTTTACTATTCAAATAAATTCCTTTCGTATACATTTTTTCGCACCCAAAAATATTTTCAAAAATATTTATTGTGTTTTTAAAAATGCTTCCAAAATGTCACAATTAATTTCAAAATATGTTGGGTTAATTTTAGATATTTTGTTAAGTTTTTTCCGATACCACAGCAAAATTCCTTTTCCCATGATATTTTAGTGTGAAATTTAAAATACATTTTTCATTTGGAAAAATGCACCTTTAATGCAAGAAGACACGTTTTTGGAAAATATTACTTTGTACGTTTGTGTAGACAAGAATTCAACAAAATTAAAAAAAATATATAAATTTTGGTAATGCTTATAGTATGTGCAGAAGTTCTATATTTCAAAATAGTTTTTTTATTTTTATCTGAAAATAATTAAAATTGGACTCAGAAATACTTTGAACCCATGAAGGCGGACAATAGAGATATTGATAGATCTGCCAGAGAGATCTATCTTTAGTAGATCAAATAGATCTTGCACTCCGAAGTCCTTTAACTTAAAAACAATAACTATTATTTTAAGTTTGGTTTTTGTGCTATAAGAAATAGTTGTTTGTTTGTATATATTAATATAGTGAGAGTTAGCATAGAGCTTATGAGTATGAAAATAAATTGTAAATAATGAAATTTAGAGAACTGAATTATTTTTAACATTTTGTTCTAATTTACTTTCTATTAAAACTTAGTTCGTTATTCAAAAGCTTATGTGAACTTTTTTAATAAAAACAGTTTTTTAATTTATTTATATATATTTATCTATATAACTATGTATTTATATAGTCGTTTTTGACAAATGTTAATGTATGAGAATTATTTATAATGGAATAATACTGCAAAAATAATAATAGTCATAATTCAATGATAATAAGGTTAGTTGTTAGAATATACACTACAATATTTCTCCCTTATAAAAAGGAATTAGATAAAAATCTATATTAAAAAACTGTTTCTATTACAAAAGTTCGCAAAGGCTTTAAAAAAGTACACATTAATAAATCATATTTACTTTAATTATAAATGTTTTACTTTTTTCTTTAATATTAATATTTTTTTATTAATTAATATGATATCTTGTATACATATGAAATAAAAATTATCAAGTTTAATTAGTTTTTGTCTCACATATATTTTGAAATTAATTTAATCCACAAAAAAAATGATAAGTCAGACCTAGTAGACGTGTCTACAGTAACCGATTTTGTAAATTTTTTAAAGTTTAGAGTTTTTAGTGTTCTAGTTTCTCTGCGAAAATAGCATTGAATTACATTATCAAAAGCAGTGAAGAAGTTTATATAGTATCGTTTAAAATTACTTAAGACAAACATTTATCATAATATATATATTTATTATTGTACATACATTTTTTATATATATAAAATATTCAAAACATTTTATTGTTGTTTTTGTATAGTTAAAATTTATTTATTTTTATTAAAAAACTGATACTTCATTCGTAAATTAAAAAGTACTACAGTAATAAAAATTAAAGTTTTGTATCCGTTGAAAATCATGACTGTAAACCTAAACTTTTAATTTATAAAAGAAAATGTTTTTAAATATTAAACATTTATGTTTCTTTTTGTTAAATAAATATAAGAAAAGCTGATGAATTAATTTGATGCATTTAAATAAAAGAAAATATGCTTCAGTAGAAGCAGTGGATGGTAAAATAAATTATTTATTTATTATAATATTTGTACAGCGTGTTAAAATAAGGAATAAATCAAATTTATGAAGTGCTCAACTGTAAACACAATAAATATTACATTTAATACAGCTTTTGTTATTACTGTAAGCCGTGTTGTTTTATCATCCTTGAGAAACAAAGCTTTCTTCACTTTTCTTGGGAACACTGAAACTTTGAGTAACTTTGCTGCGTACACAAGTCCGCTCGTAGCATCAATTTAGCCTTTGGTGAAAAGAAAAAAATAATACTTACTTAGTTTGCCATTACAGACGTGAGTTGTCCTTGGCCGCGTCGAGTAGCGTCCGCCAGCCAGCTAATCAGGCTTGCTGTTCCGTTGATAGTACCAAGCGCTCCCAAATCGTTGATCACCTGGTTCTTCCGCCGACGATGCGGACGTACATTACCGCTTTTAAAAAAAAATAAAAAATAATAAATAAAAAATTTCAAAAACTATATAAGCAAAAAGAAACAAAATACATTTTTTTTTTAATTTCTTAAATTTCTAAATTATTAAATATTTTATTATTATATTTTATATTATTAAATATTTTATTATTATATTTATACCTTATTATTCTTCATTCCTTTTCCCATACTTTAATAAATTATTTCAAACATAAATTTAATGCGTTAGAAGGTATTAATTCTTCTTCTCATATTAAAAGTTTATACATTTTATTTCGAAACTTTAACCCATTTAAAAGGAAATTATTTCATTAATCATGTTAAAAACATGAAACATGAAATATCCAAGGATACCAAAAGCCTTTACACTTATTATCTGAATTATAATAATAATCTTTTGCAGATTTAAAGTACCATAAAAGGGCAGATCAAGTGCTTTGTCGTTTGTTTATGATGATTTAAATAGCTTTAAAAAAATAATCATAAACCTGTCATTTAAATAACTCTAAAGTTAGGTGTATTTTTAGTTACAAATTGAACTAAAATATTTTTATGGGACAACACATGTTAGGGGGATTCAATACTGCAAACCAGGGCACATTCCTTGTAAAATTAATATGCTGTAGTACAAATTTAAATGTGTGCCGTTGAAAGGGTAAATAAATTTTAAACAAGTCATAAATTTTAACAAATTGGAAACTATTTTTGTACGTGTGCCCTAATTTTTAATTAATTACTCTGGAGTTGGCAGCAGCAGGCATAGTTCTGTATTATTACTACTATTGTTATTTCGAAATTTTATATCTTATTGTTATATTTATTTGTGTTTTTTTTGATATATTTTTAGTTAACTCACCGCCTCGCATTATTAAACAACCACCAACTGATGAATTACTATTTAAAGTGGCACAACAAAGTAAAGAAAGTGATAAACCATTTATAATTGAATGCGAAGCTGAAGGACAACCTGACCCAACGTAAGTAATCATTTCATTGTGACAAATTATTTTCAATTTATATTGTCATTATAAGTTTGAAACTTAAGTATAAAAGATTTTAACACTTTTCAAGTTATAACATTAACATCATATTTTTGGTGTCAAATTTTTACACATTTCAATTGTGTTATTAACAGTCCAATATGTTGCGAACAGAAAATGTTGAGCATCCATTGTTTTTCATATATGAAAATCTTTAAAAATAAATTTAGGTTAACATATTTTTTATATTTTTAAATTGTTGCGTATGGGAAATGTGTGGTCTTCTGTTTTTTTTTTTTTTAGTAAACAACGTCCATTTAGCTAGATAGCTTTTTTTTTTACTTTTGTTCTAATATATATGCTTAGAAATTTTTCATACGAATTTTTATTTATTTATTGTATAGATAGTGTCTGTTTAGCATAAAAGCGTGTAAGTTGAACAAAGTTACTGCAAATTTATTATAGTTGGTTGATCTATAAAAAAATACTCGCGCTTGCTAGTCTGTCTATCGAATTGAGAAGAATTCCAATAAATTTTTTTCTTAATCATATTTCGCAATTTTTTTTTTTTACCCGACATAAGACAATATTATCTTATACCATATAGTAATAGTGCCACATGTGCGCCCAAGTCATTTACACAAACTTTTTATATACTAGATAAAAATGATTCGATTTTGACACATAGTTTTTCGTAAAAGAAATTTCAAGTCATAAATTTTTCTTAGAAAAATGTAATGAGGTCATAAAATAAAAGAAGCTGTACAATCTTTCTTTACTATGTAATATTTTATTTATTAATGAAATTATGAAGAAGTAGAAATTCCTTAGCATTTATGTAGTAGTGATTATTTCAGTAATTCATGATTTCGTTTATATGGTACTATATACAAAATTTCATACATATACAGTGTAAAAATGATTTTTTTGCTGAATGGAACTTGCAATAAAATACTATTTTTGGTGTTTAAATTATATTGTATTTAAAAAATTTATAATATGTACTTCGTAGTAGTGTTTATCAATGCAAACAATTAGTTTCTATACGTAAAAAATCCATATGTTGATTCTTTTGAAGTGGGCTTTTAATCAGTGTCACAAAGAAGAAATTCAATGTATTCTATCTAAACTATTTTTAAATAAATGTTTTGTTGCTGTAAAAACATATACTTAAACATATACTTCCATAATTCGAAGTGCCATTTTGCAAAAAAAAAATTTCGACTTATGGCGATTTCGAGTTAAAGAACTTTTTATTTAATTGTATATAATTTGCTCTCTAAACCCTGTTGCACTCTGTCTAATTCGAGTTATGCAAGTTTGACTGTATTCATTTTTCATATTTATCATTTTCAAAAAAGTTTTTGACTTCAATAGCGTCAATCATAATTATTCTTTTTTATTATATTTTTAAATAATACCCATCAAATATATATTAATATATGATACTTATTCTTCAACATTTTTGATTGGCTGTTAAGAATATTTTTTATATTTATATTCCGCAAAACAATCTGCAATCTGTGCTACCAATCATTCCCCTTTAAATAGTATTTGTTATGCTTGTATTGAATCTATTATACTGAATATAATATTTTTATTTATAATTGACAATTCATAGAAACCTTTTAAGCAAATGTGTTCTCTTGTCCAAAGCAATTTTATCGAAGCAATACAGGAAACTTATTCCCCGTTGAACTAATTTTATCTTTTGGTATGACATCATATTTCCTTTTAATGGCTAAAATTGACAGGAAGCAAAGCTTTTATGCGTTCAAGTATTGCATTTATGGACGGAATTTCTATGTTTGTTTGTTTAACATATGATATCGTATGTATTTGTTCACAAACTAAAATCCAATCATATCTTATAATTTATTTATAAACTTTAATAATAAATCAAATCGAGAGAATTGTGGTTTATTTTTATCATAAATGTGGTTTAATTGCGATGTTTTAATATTCAATAGTTAACATATATTGATGATTGTCATAGGCAGTAATAAAAAGCAATTGAAAATATATTTATAAAATATGTGTATATAATATAATTAAAGGAATAATAGAATATTAGAACTTCCTTTTATAAATGTAATTATTAGTATAAATAAATTGAAATCATTACCATATTAATTAATTTGTATTAAACAGTTTTTAATATTAAAATTTTATTATATATTTTTTATAATTATATATAACATATAATAAAATTATGTCAAATCAACTGCATAATTTTAGAATTTGCAACCTAAAATTGTTTTCACTTTTATGTTACTAGTCTAAATTTGCATTTATTTTTGGGATTCAAATTTCAAATAAATAAATTTCAAATAAATATTAATAATTAAGAATTGTATGTCATATGACAAAAACTTTATTCAGAATAAAAAAGGATGGTATACTGATACTGAGCAAATTTTCAAATCCAAAAGAATTTTTTTTAATCAAGTAAATTCTTGAGCTGAATGACCATACCAGCTGTTTCGGATATTAGTATGAATATTATATATATTTATTAAAAAGGGATTTTTATTTTAGTTCATAAAAAAGCTTCAAATAACAAACATATAAATGTTAAATATAAATTTATTTAGTGAACTTGATGTTTACTGGCAAACACATATTACATACAAGCATGTACACATTGTATCTGATTATTTTATTAATCATTAAAGCTGTAATTCCATGACAAAGCTGATGAAAACACAAACTCTAAAATTTATTTACTAAAGTCATTAAATTAAACTTTAAAACTGTGGATTTACTAAAGAAATTAACATTTTTTACAGAAAGTTTATACCCTTTACACAAGATTTCACTTTTCAATAATTCACTTTCAGCGTATAGTTTACTATTCATTCAATAAAATTTCCATATACAGAAAAATATATATAGTACACTAGACCACAACGTTATTGTTGCAAATTCGTTTCTCTTTTACACATAGTTTTTACATTTTCTCACAATGCATATATATTTCACTGTGTAGAAGAAAACAATTCAAATGGATTCATTAAGCCCGTAAGAAGAAACGAAATAAGAATAGCAGAACGAATTCTGTTAACAGAAAAGTAATCATCTAAGAATTCATCTATATTCAATATTCAGAAACTACCAACAGCGAAAGAAGAAGAAAGTAGAAGATAAATAAAATTGCAATTAAAATTATATAAAAGAAACATGTCTTTAAAAACAAACCTTCCATAAAACGTTTTCAATGTTATTAATTAATGTGTTTATAAATTATAATACTCTATCGTCTAGAGTATTATATAGACGATAGAACAAAAAGGAGGACGTATCGTGAATATGATGATCGAAAAATAAATTAAAAATTTTTTATATAATAACGTATATTATATAAAAACAAACTTAAATTTTAAAAAAAAATCTCAAACTTAATCGTAAGTTTATTTTTATATAATATACGTTATTATAAAAAACATAATTTTAGAAACACGATCCTAAACCCGACGTCGACACTAAAACCAGCGTTATAAACTAAATTAATAAAATTTTATTTGTACGATTATATTGATATATTTTAAACTTTATTATTACGAAATAAAATTTTATTTGTAAACTATTGTTTTTAATTATATTCATTTCAATCGTAAGAAATAAAATTGTATTCATAGCATATAATTTTCTTATGCAAATACAAGATTTTATTTTGCAATTTCCTGAGTGAAAAATTCAATCATTTAAGAATTTCTTTCAATTTTTCTTTTCAATGAAATTTGCATACGACAACAGCTGTAATTTATCCTACCGCACTTCCATTCAAGTAAATGCATTTCTCCGGTTAAATGTGCGAAAATAGTAACATCTTTATATACATATAACATTTTTCTTTACAGAGTACATTTCTTACTCGTTAAGAAGTTTCTCGTTGTTCCACATTTTGTACCGCTAAAAATTGAACAGATTATTCAAGTATCTGATATTTCCTGCTGTTTATTATTTTATTATTTTATTATTTTTGTGATTAAGTCAAGAGGAGCAAGACAAGAATTGCTTAAGTTTGTTAGATTCTTATATACAATGATGTTTTTGTTGTAATGGATGCAATTGAAAAAATGCAGCAGAGAACAAGTGGCAGTTTGAAATAACGACTTACGACGAGAAAACGTGAATACAAAAAAATATATATAAACAAACATATAAAACTCTAAATGTGTACAGATAAACGTACTTTTATGTAGGTGGTTTGCATTTAATGATGGGAAAATGCTAAAATTAAAAGATAATTTTGCTCATGACGCAGCTGTAGTATGAGTGGTAAATGCATTTCAGCATTCAATAAAAATTTTATTGATATAAAAAATTTATATTAAAAAATTATTAAATTCTACTACAAACTATAGTTCATTAATTTTATTATCAATTTTATTTTTATTTTTTATATTTTTTATGGAATGATACAATCCACCTTAAGCTTCGGAGTATCTTACATTTTAACAAAGTCATGGCGAAAATGTAAAGTGCCTAATCTTAAATGGATTAAAATAAATAAAAGTAAAAAAAAAAAAATTATAGCAATACTGGCATCAAGTGTGAGACCATCAACTAGTAAAACCGGCTATTCATCTAGTTTCGAAACACATTTTACTTCATGTCGCTATTAAAAAGAACAACTTTTCTGAATAATTTATTTTGTGTAAAAAGTTCATCAAGCCATGCACGATGTCTTATATACATATACAATATATACAAATGATATACAAAACGTTAAAATGAAGTAAGAAAATTACGTAATATTTAGTGTAGCTTCTAGAAGTGATACAATTCGCGTTGATTATGTAGTATCCATGATATTGTCATACGGTGGAGGTAAATTGTACTTTAAAAGATCATAAAAATGATTGCTAATGTTATTAAATTACTTAAAAGTATATTTGTAGCAAAATAATGTGTCCACCATAATATATGAAAACACTATGCTCTACCATACATTAACTATCTACTCTACTCTACACTTCTAATAGACAAATAAT